AGATCCAGGACAGGCACCAAAACTACACAGAGAAACCCTGTCTCAAAAAACCAAAAACAAACAAAATTCAAAACCCTATCAATTTCAAAGGCCAGTAAATGCCAAATTTCTGGATAATCAATTGTTAAGTCCATGTTATTTTATATCATAAACACCATTCCAGTATTTCCTTGAAATATGTTCAAGAGGTCCCTTGTACCAGAACTTGTCTTGAGTGCTTGGAAATGCAGATTCCTAAGCTACCTTGGGCTGCCCCAGAACTGAATTCCCGGACAAGAACTGAATTTACAAGACACCACTCAGTTCATTTGGATGATTCCTGTGAAACCAGGAGGATCTGTATAGCCCTTCACAAATTTAGACATATATATTAGGGATTTGCATATTTTCTCCCAAATGTTTATGTACCATAAAAAATGAAAATACTTCTGTGATGAGTTCTTAAAACCACTTCAGTTTATAATGAATGCCACTATTAAAATGTAATTAACAACATAAAATTATTGTGAAAAAAATCAACTATGCTTCTTGAAAGTATTGTCTTTATTGTCATTAAAAGTAACTATACTATTAAAGGAATTTATAGCTTTTAAAAGTATCAGTCACTTGCCTGCAGGAACTTAATAAGCTGTTGTAATAATACTCCTCCCATACCTTTTTAGTCATCAGAAATTTTATGATAAAGCCTTTTATTATTTTTAAACTACAAATTGTGCACCCATTGTTACTAGTGATTAGGCCAAATATAAACTTATTTCCCGGGTATAAATTCCTAAAGGCATGCTTCATTGGAATTACCAAGGCAATCTTGACTTCAGCCTTGGCAATAAAGTTCTATTTACTTCTATTAAAGTGTGTGAGCATGTGTGTATGTGTGTGTGTGTGTGTGTGTGTGTGTGTGTGTGTGTGTGTGTTCAAAACAATTTATTTTTAGTGCATTCTCTGAAGCAAAAGAAAACAGTTTGTGATATACGTGTTACTGCAAGGCTGTAAACCAGCCTAGCTGGCGGCGACATGACAACCACAATTCTTCTCAGGGGAATTTTTTTCCCTTGTGATTCCCCCTCCTCAAATTATGGCTACAACCATATCAGAAAACACAGTCTCCCCTTTCTAGAGACAGCATCCCCTTCTTCTCCCTCAATAAAACTGCAAGGTCAGGCCAAATAATGGATGAAAATAGAAGTCAAGAGGAAGGCTTTGTTTGTAGCATGCTGTTTTGCTAAGGGTTGCCCCCTACCCACGGTCCACCCCAGTGCTCTGGCTGAAGTGTACATGCTATGTTTTAACAGATGGGCTGGCTGGCGGCTGCTGGGCTGTAAAACAGGAACGTGCAATCTGCACTGAGTGGTATTGAACTGAGAGCTCGTAAAGTTCACGGACATACACTGACCCAGACAGACCAGACAGATGCAGACATGCTTACACATACACGGTCACATACTTCATAGCTAAGAGGGTTCATCCCTGTAAATCCAGAGGAAGTTCAAGTTCTACCTCATTCCCCTATCAATCCTGCATATATATACAGACGCTCAAGTAGATGTATATTATACACTCACAACTATTATATAAATCAACGTTTTATATATTTTAAAATATCGAACTGTTCCCAACTCCCGATCCAACTCTCTGTAGTACTCTTAATAAGCTCTCATTCATATAAAATAAGGATGACAAGACAATATTGCACTGAATTCTATATAGTCCATAAGCTATATAAGCTCTATGCAACTGCACTCAGAAAATCAAGCAGCTTTTAGTACAAGAGAAGCAAGGAAAAATATACATATACACATATATATATGTATATATATAAAACCCAGGATTAATCACAAACGAGGCGTCAGGTTTAACCTTGAATCCTCTGTTGTCAGTTCTTGCCACAACTTCATCACTTAAACACACAGGTGTTTAAACAAACACCACCAAACCAGGCTGGCGGACTCTCAGCCTGGCGTTAGCCTCTAGGCTCCCTGCTGGTCCTAACCAAGTTCCTCAGACGGATCTTGTAGTGGATGTGGAGGTCTGAGCACCCCCAGGAAGAGGGGCGCAGATTCAAGGGCTGACAGGAGGCAATTACTTCCCAAACTTTAACGTTCAGTAGCGCTGTCAGTTTCCTCGGAGCTGCAGAGTACGGAAGGGGCCTGCTAAGGTCCCCGGAGGGTCCCTCCAATTCTCACTCGGAACGCGACCGGCGCTCGCTGCGCACGCCGGCTCAGGCGCCGGTTAATGTTGAGAAACCAGTCGCAGCCATCTAGGAACTGCTGTGCGCGCACCGAGGCGTCCCCGAGCAGCGCCGTGTCGCCGCCGCAGAGGGGCAGGGGCGCGCCCCGGACCTGAGGGTGGCACCCACCAACGCCAAGTCGGTGCCGCCGCCGACGCACAGCCGCGTCCCGGGCCGAGTTGGGATGCTTTGAACACCAGAAGTTCGGGAGCCGGGACGCCGGCAGCGAGTAAGTGTCCCCTGCCTTGCCCTGCCCTCCCACAGCCGCCACGCTCCCACCCACTAGCACCGACGCGGTCCCGGGCTCGCTGGCAAAGCGGCGCCGGGGAAGCCGCTTGCACGGCGCGGCCACTCACCCTCCTGGCCCAGTCCAGACGCCAAATCCACGCCCCTGCTGCAGATCCTCAGCCCCAAGTTGCCCCGAACCACCCGCTGCTCGCGCCCCGCGAGACCTGGGCTCATCGGATCTAGGAGGCACCTGACGGGGATCGCCGCAAGCCCGGCGGCCGCCCCGGCTCAGCAGTCGCCTCGGAGCGCGCTGACAATTCACGGACCCGCTCAGCGAATGAGGCGGAACGCCGCGCTGCGCTGACTAGGCTCCTGGGGGGGCGGGGTCGCGGGGGCGGGGTCTTCCGCGGGCCAGCCCCCCCCCCACCTCCCCGCGAGGCGGGGCGTCCACTAGCTTTTGACTGGCGTAGTCCATCTCCAATCGTCAGGGAACCAGGACTCTTGGAGGCCGTGGGAGGTGCCTACCGTGTGGTCCCGCCCCCCGGTCACTGTCCAATCGCTTACGGCCGAGCGTTGGCCGGGAGACGCTCTGGCGACCCGTAAGTTGGCAGTTGTGAAGTGCGGTGGTGGTGGTGGAGGTGGAGGTGGAGGTGGTGGTGTGGTGTGGTGTGGTGGTGGCTGCTGCCGGCTCCAGCGTGGCCCGATGAGATGGGACCCGAACGCTCCGGGAAGGAGGCTGCGGCCGGGGAAGGTCCTTGCTGACCGACGCCAGGAGCTCCCAGAGCGGTCCCGAGGCGCGGGACTTGTCCCCCAAGACGCCCCAGCCGTCCGAGGACTCTGAGTACCCACAGAGCGTGAGTCCCACCAGGTCCAAGGCTCCTGGAAACGGCTCTAAGCTCCGAAACAAAAACTCTGGCCCAGCCAACCTCCGGGAAAGTACAAAGCAAGACTCTCCTCACCCTTTCCCTCCACCCCGCTAGGGACCCTTAGCCAAAGCCCGATTTCTTCTCACGCCCTAAGGCGGCCCCCGCGCACTTCCCATCCTCCACGGTAGGTTCTGCTGCTGTCTGCCTGCTCCTCCAGGAATATCGAGAGGCCAGAATCATCCATCTTCTTGGACAGAAAACCGCAGAGCAAGCTACACTCGTCGGACTCCGCATTCCCTTCTTTTCCCCTTCGGAAATCCTTGATTAGGATGAAGACAGGAAGCAGCTCATAGTTGAAAGTGCACTGGGAGCCTTTGGGTCATTGTCAGTTTATTTTCACTGCTGCAGTCTTGCCAGAATGGTCTTTTCGGCCAGGTTTTAAGACTGTACACGCATGCACGAGCGCTTGCTTGCTTGCACACACACACACACACACACACACACACACACACACACACACACACAGGACTGGAGGTTGAAGGGAATGTACAGTCAAAAGCGGATACTTGAGTATTGCTGTCTAACGAAGACTTAGAATCTGAGCATGTTCTAGACTGTCTTCTGGTGTGGGTAGAGCTTATCTGTACCTAAACCTGTACCTATGCACCCAACTGGTGTGAATAGGAATGCACAACAGTACAGGGAAGAAGGCAAACTTCTTGGTGTTCTATACCAATCACGTGCCGCCCCCCCCACACACACACCGCACCCACCTCCATACTTTTGCTTGCAATCCAGGCACTTGAGATCACTGTCGCAGTTCTGAGAAATCCTAAAGGGTCTAAGTAGTGGTTCGGTATCGGTGTCATTTCAATGGCTTGAGAAGGTTCTGATGAAGTCACCAGAGAAAAGGGTGGGCTTTCAACTAACAAGGAGGCAAGGCTGCAACTCTTAGGTGAGCTCTGGCATAAGTTGAGGTCCATAGGCAGGTTGTCAGAAGGAGAAAAATAGGACCTGTGAATAGTCTTTAACAGGCTGTAAAAAAAATTAGTGATGCCGAGCCTGAACCGAAAGACTGGTACAGGTGAGGAAGACTTGAATTCCAGCAGGCACTGAGCAGTTGCAGAGTGACTAAGGAGAATGGCCTTTGCCTACAAAAAGTTAGAGGTAGAGAAGATGAACAGAATATATGAATCTCTGCTCATGTTGGGATGGAGTGGGATTGGGGGGAGGACAGGTCTGGGGATATCAGAGGAAAGGCCCAGAAGACCACTCCCCACTTCTAGTAGTGTGTCAGTCAGATTTCATCACTGTGACAAGATACCCGAGAAAGTGTGTTGTATAAGGAGGAAGGGTTTGTATTGCCTTACAGTCACAGACGCCCAAGTTCATGGTCTCTTGACCTCTTTGGGCCTGTGGCAGTGTGGTGCCTCATGGTGGGAACAGTAGGTAGAACAATGCCATGCACTTCGGTGGTGACCAAGATTAGGGGGATGGGCAGGGAAGGGGGATGGGTAGAAGTGCCCCCGAGAAGTTCTAACTTCCAGTGGGCTCCGCCTCGGGAAGGGTTTTTACCACCTCTCTGTAGTGCCGTGGGCTGGAAACCAACTACAGTGAGCAGGAGCACTCTGATCTCCCTTTAAAACCGTGGTCTTCAGTTTGCTTTCATGACTCTAGATGCCCCTCCACTGAAGGCTGTCATGAAACATCACCATTGACTGGGATAACAGGAAGTTCCCATGGAAGAAATGCATGTCTTTGGACTTTGTCCATTCACACTTGTAACTAGACAAGTTGGCTATCAGTGCTCATCATGATCACGCCCTGTGCGGGCTTTTCACAGGTGCTAATTTTTATTTTAAAAGCCATCTTTGGGCTGATAGGATGGCTCAGACAGTCAAGGACACTTGCTACCAAGCCTGAATACCTGAGTTCTATCCCTGGGACCCACTTAGGGGAAGGAGAACTTATTCCCCTCAAATTGACCTCTGACCTCCACATGTGCATCACGGCACTGGCATGCACATGCACATATACACACATACAAATGAATGTAATATTAGGGAAATTAAAAACCATGTTAGCAGAGCTGGTGAAGCACTTGTGATATATGGGTGAGGCCCTGGGTTTGATGGAGAGCACTAGAAAAAGTTGACATCATCTTGGTAGTAGGAATCAACCACTGGGCTGAAGACTCCATGTAAAGTGACATTTATATTAGCTACTGAGGGGGAAATAAAAGTAAATAAAAAGTATATAACTAATGTTTAGATTTTCATTTCTTTCATCTATAGATATATCCATCTATGGTTCTTAGATTAATTACACATCTCAATTTCTTTTTAAGAATGGATGTTATTCGCCCCCCCCCCATCAATGCCTGAGGTAGGTATGAGAGCGAGACCTGTGGTCATAAGAGTGGGAGAGCCATCCCTGATCCCCCACCAGCTGAAACACTTGGGAGAGCAGGCCCTGCACCTTGCCAGAGCAGCACAATAGAGCTAACACTGTTAGTCCAGGTGTGGGTGAGCCAACCCCGAAATTGTGACCATGGGAGAGCTGTCCCCATTTCCCATCTAGCGGACCAACCCTACAGCTGCCCAGGCCCAAACCCAGGGTTATGACTTGTCCTGCCCCAACATCCACCCTATCTATGATCTGCTGGAGCACTAGAAGGGACCTGACCCACAGGATTTCCATTACACAGGGCAGCAGGGGGATGTCCAGGAAGAGTCCCAGTGGGGGCCCAGCATTGATCATGAAGTGGAGAGCAGGGGCCTTGAACCAGACCAATGACTCTTTACAGTGAACACTTACAAGTAAAAATGTATGGGAAAAGGGGCATATGGCGTGACTTGGTCGCACTGCGGCTTCCATGATGAGATTATTAATTTTTCCCTTTTTAAATTTTTTTCATTTTATTTTCTTCCTTTTTCTCTTGAATTTTGTTTTATTTGTGGGGGGTTGCAGGAGTGGAGGGTGGATATGAAGGGATGGGGAATGAATGGATGAATGGGATCAGATACATGATTTGAAAGACACATAAATAAATAAAAGAATGGATGTATTTTTGTTAAGTTTTCTATTGCTGTGCTTTAAAAAAAAAAATGACCCAAGCAACTCGGGGAGGGAAAGGGTTATTTCATCGTCCACAGAAGTCAGGCCAGGAATTCAAGGCAGGAACGTGGGGTAAGAACTGATGCAGGAGCTACAGAGGAGTGATGTTTACTGGCTTGCTTTGCTCACGGCTTGCTCGGCTTGTTTTCTTAAACCATCCAAGGTTTCTTAAACCAGCCCAGTGGTGGCACCACCCACAATGGAATGAGCCCTCCTAGATCAATCACTGAAAAAATACCTCCCAGGCTTGCCTACAGGGCTGATTGATACAAAAACGAGCCAGCATAGATGGCATGGCAAAGACAGCCTATTAGTACTGTTTTCATATTTACACATCATCTCTTTAAAATAAAATTGTTTGAGACTAAAATTTATACATTTCCCCCTTCCCTTTGCTGGCTTCAAACTTTCCATATACCCCACCCTGCTCTCCTTCAAATTCATGGCCTCTTTTTGATGAATTGTTACCACATGCATATATGTATACACACATATATTCCTAAATATAATCTGTTGACTCCATGTAATGTTACTTATATTTTTTTTCAGAGCTAACCATTTGACACTGGACAACCAATTAGTTCCACACCATCTTTATTGTTTGCAGTTTTCTACAAGTGCCTATCGCTTGGACGCAAGACATCCCTTTAGTTGCTGGCTTCCATAGTCCTGTTGCGTTTGCGTTACTATGATATTCTATGAGGGGAAACAAGCTCCCTTCCTATTTCAGGAACTTCCGCTAACACTACCTGTAGGAAACAAAAAGAAAACCTAAAGTCTGGATGGGAAAGTCATTTGTTTACTTCCAACCTAGTTCATGAAATTTCTTTCTTTCAAAGGGGTGAGGAAGTTTGCGGAATGCTTGAAGGATGAGAAAAGTGATATAGCTGGGTTGGATGGTAGATCTACTTTCGGATTTTTTGAGAATTCCCCACACTGATTTTTAAGATGCACCAGTTTGTAATCCCACTGTGAGTGAGTGAGGTTTCAGCTTCTCCCACATCCTGGCCAGCATATGCTGTCATTTGTTTCATTGGTTTTAGCCATTCTGACTGGGGTGAGATAAAAATCTCAAAATATTTTTAATTTGCATCTTTCTAATTGCTAAGGATGTTGAACACTTTTAAAGATATTTCTCAGCCATTTATATTTCTTTTGTGAACTCTGTAACCCATTTTAAAATCAGGATATTTGTTTTCTTGATTTATTAAAAAAATTCTTTAGGTAGTCTGAATAGTAATCCTCATCAGATGATTAGCTGCAAAGGCTCCCTCCTACTTTGTAGGCTTCCTCTTCACTTGCTTGTTTCTTTTGTTATATAGAGCTATTTTAGTTCTATGACGCCGGCTTTGTCCATTGTTGGTCTTAATTCCTATGGGAATGGAGTCCTATTCTGAGAGTCCTTTCCTATACCTATATCTTATAGCTACTATCTATATTTTCTTCTAGAAGTTTTAGCATTTCATGTTTCCCATTGAGACCTTTGCTCCATTTGTAGTTGATTTTCATCAGGGTAACAGATATAAGTCTAATTTCATTTTTCTCTGTGTGGACATGCGGTTTCCCCGGCACCTCTTGTTGAAGATGCTGTCTTTTCTCCAGTGTGCACTTTTGACATCTTTATCAAACGTCATACGGCAATAGTTATGTGCACTTGTGTTTGGGTCTTTTATTTCGTTCCATTGGTCTACATGTCTGTTTTTGTGTCAAGTACCATGCTGTCTTTGTTACTATGGCTGTGGAATAGAGCTTGTAACCACTCTGGCATTGTTCTTTTTGCTCAAGATTGCTTTGGCTATCTGGGGTCTTATGTTTTCATATACATTTTAGGAAATTTTCTTTCTCTGTGAAGAACATTTTGGGGATTTTGGCTGGGCTTGCATTGAGTCTGTGGATTGCTTTGGGTAAGGTGGCTGAATATTGATTCTACCAAATCACGAACATGAAGTGTCTTTCCATCTTTAGTGTCTTCTCTAACCTCTTCAGAAATTTAAAGGACTTGACATTCTACTCCACAGATACTTGTTCTGCCATATTCATTGCTGCTCTTTTCATAATAGCCAAGGAATGGAAAGAACCTAAATTTTCTTCAATTGATGAATGGATAATGAATATATGATACATATACATAATGGAATTCTATTCAGATATAAACAAAAACAATATTATGGAATTTGCAGTTAAATGGATGGAAATAGAAAATATACTGAATGTGGTAACTCAGACTCAGAAGGACAAATGCCATGTGT